GATATGAAGAGTTCGCAACAGTATCCTAGACAATTTGGACATCAAGTGGCGTCCCATCATATCAGCTACATGCTTTCCGAAACTTGTCTGAGAGCAGTAGTCATTCCAAATATGCAAACTAATATTATTTTTTTGTTTGGCAATCCACGTGTGCAGAATTGAGGATTCTCCATGTCCTGACTTGGTGACCTTCATTCGAGAACATGGCTACCAGGAGAAACTTTATAAGTATATGAAACCCATGTCAAGTTTCCTTGCAGCTTGGCCATGAACACCTGCACCCCGTAAGGCCCTATCAATAGCTTAAAATTAATAAGGGTTTTAGAATGATCAAAAGGGTACTTCGGGGGGTCAGGTTTCCATGCCATATATATGAGAACAGTTCGAGTTTCCCTGAGCCCATTCGGCTGTGCCTTGACCCAGGAGCCACCACCAGGATGCTAGGAGTATGCACAGCTCCAACCTTTCGTGGAGTTCATCCACGCGGCGATCGAGGGAGGGAAATACATTCCAGACCCTTTGATCCCCATTCAAATTTCACCCTGCAGGGCCACTGCCCAAAAGGCCTCTGAAAGAGCTTTGGGTTGAATGTGATAACAAAAAAACAAATATACCGGCACTCTAGTTCTAGAATAGCTTTGTTGGAAGACCAATCACTGAGTGTCAGGACCACTGACCACCTGTCATATCAGGTAGGGGGAGGGTTGGTAGGGAAAGAACAATGTTGTTCTGGTTGTGTTGACATTAAGTAAAACTTTCAATGAGGCCTGCTTGGACCATTTTTTTTGCGATGGCAGCTGTGTGAAGCATTGCAGCAATCCAAAACCCAAAGCCATTGACTGGCATAACTGTGCGGTGCTGGCAGCTCCAATCAAGAAAGAGGAGGTTGTTTCATGGGTGGGACTGAAGCCACTACCCACAGTGCTAATTCAGAATCAAGAGCGGTCAACTGGATGCAATCCAAAACGGCTTGAAAACTGCACGTGTGCAGTGTAGAGTTGTGAAGGAGCCTCTGTATCGGCTGCTTCCTGGGTTTTGATGCCAGAAGGAGTCACGCCACCATGGTGGCCAGTCTATCGATCGGATCCAGGAGCTGTGCCTCGCTAGTGTTTGATGGAAGTCCCTGACATTGAGGCTGCCGTCGAAGTAGTAGTTCTCAAGGGTTCTCACACGCAATACTTGAGGAGACCCAGGTCACATGACAAATAAATGTCACAATTGCGTGTTCTCATCGATGCATATCTGCACGAGTTTTGTGGATCTCTCCGCAGCATTTTAAAACCGCTTTGGGCAGTTTTGGCGGACAGCCTTGTGTGGAGCCTGGTGCTTTAGGGAGGAGGACCGGGATGGGAGAAATTAGCTACAAAGGTTGAATTTCGATTCAACATTTTCTTTATTTTTTTTTTTAAATGTGTACTAGCTAGCTAGTACACAGCTGTACATATTCATAATGTACAGCGCTGGTGTTGTGTGTACAGTACATTTTGCAAAAAAACAGGTACATTTTGCTGTGTACATTTTTGTTTTTATTTGTACATTAAAAATGTAATATTTATATATTTTTTTTTGGATGTATACATTTAAAATGTAAAGGATTTATGGTGTACATTTGGTGGGTAGCTATTTTCGAATGTAAAAAAATGTAAAATGTACACAAAATTGTGAAAAAATCAAAATGTACATAAATTAAGGCAAAATGTACAAAAATCTATTTTTTTCGAAAAATGTAAAAAAAATCAAAAAATACTATAAAATCAAAAGCTGTGTACAAAAAACATAGACTGTCCTCTGACCGGGGGTCGCGTTATTTTGCGTTATTTTGCGTTATAGGTACGTGCTCAGGGACTTCTAGGCGTTATTTTGCGTTATTTTGCGTTATTTTGGAATTCACCAAAATTCCTCTAGAGTGAGGCAACTTCAGGCAGGGGAGGTACTATATGTGGTCACAAACACGGTCCTGTGGTATGCTCACATCAAACATGTGATGACCTGGAAGGAGGATGTCGGCTGAGCGACCCACAGCCGCCAAATCCAGGGCATCACCAGCCACATCGGAGGTGGGAGGTTGAAAAAAGTAGTTCAAAAATGTGCAAATGACTTCCAAAAGCATTAATATTTTCTTTTAAAAAAAACAGATTGAATTGGAGCCGCTCACCCAGCCCCTAGGCAAAGTCACATTCCTCGAGGGAATCATTCAATTTGGACAGGGAGATGCTCAAGCTCAACGAAAGGGTGTCGCAGGCGCAGGTCAATGCTGGAGCTGGTGCCATGGTTATGCTACAACATCAAGCTTTTATACAATCTTTGTTTTTTCAAGAGCACAGTACTATATATATGTGCTTAAAGTGTATCTTCTTCCAGAAACACATTGATATATATATATATATAAATCAAAGATCTGCGCAGAACCATTCCTTGCCAGGCATGGCTCCAACAGCCGCAGCAGCATCGACTCCTATCCGTACAGTGAAGAAGCCCCTTCAACCGGTCAGTGAGAAGAAGGGGTTCACACCCATCAGAAGCCCTCTTCTTAAGAAGGTGAAGAGAGAAGTCCCACGTGAGGCACTATATTGTGAAAACATGACGTTTGTTTTACTCACAAGTGTAAAACAAAACTATTGTTCCATCAATTCCAGTCCCCTGGTGCATATGCCCATGCCTGCAAGGTGAATCCAGGGGCCAATGGACCTGCGGTTAGCGCGACGCCGGAGTCAGTCCTGTCATCAAAGACTGATGGAAGTTGCTCATCGATAGACACATCAACCTTCTTCAATGTTTGAAACCAAGAAAGTTGGACTTGGGACAAAGTACAAACCAAATTTTGGAGAAATTCATTAATTAATCTGCTTAATTAAGGTAGGGCACCACTTCAGATGCGACGTACATTGACTGCATCTACACTACTTCTTGGTGAGACTGGGACCCCTCCTTCGGCTCTAGATCTAGGGGATGAAGTGATGTATGATGACACCTCCAAGCCGGGCAACTTGCATGACTTTGTCTTGGGCATTGGTGGCTGCAAAGGTTCAAAGGGTGCCAAGGGCCGGGTTATCGAATGGATAAACTGCATGGGGCCTACATCAAATCAAGGGTGTGGTCATGACTTGTCGGTCAAAAGTATTTGGAACTTGCTATGTGAGAAAGAATCTGCTTACAGTAAGCTAAAGGAACTTGAGGAACAGTACGAAGGCCGATGTGTTCAGATTCTCAAAGCGGAGCAAATCCAGTTGGCAAAGTGGTCCAGAATGGTGTCAGCGGAGTCTTCGAAACCGGTATTGTTACCTAGCCTTGATGCCAAAAAGATTGAACTTGAAGCATGGCGGAAGGGCAAGATCTCTGAGGCGTTTACATCTGTCCAGTGTGAAAGGTCTAAGATTGAACGTGTGGACCTAGAACTGGACAAGGCAGTCGACCATCTGATCGCACTTCTAGAAGGTCCTGGTGATGAGGTGTGCCGGGAATTGCTTCAGGAACTAGATTCCAAGTTTGGTGAGTTGACACTCACAGATGCACCTCTTCAAGATCCTCAAGAGCCATTGGGTGATGAGACTGATGGTGTCCCTCACCTCAATGCTGCTACTAGAGCATTGACTTGTGTTCAAAAGCTGGACAATGGTCCTGAGAAGAGAGCTATGATGGCAGTACTGGAGGTGGCAGCCACAAGCCCTGTTGAGGCCCAATGTTCCAAATCATAATGGTAGTAGGCGAAAAGAGTTTGAAGAGAGATATGTCTGGTATCTAGTGGAACTAACGAGGCCCTTTGGTACCAACCAGGTAGAGGCCCACAGACCCTAAAAGACAATTGGTGGCAGTGTCCTTCTTTTAGCTGTTTTGGAAGGTGTTCTGGTAGTGGTAAAAGGACACAACAAACATTGTCTTTTAGGGGCGGGGTTGGCTTGTGTTGGAAGACCTCATTGACTCACACCAAACTTTGTTGGACGGCCTGGCCTTCTTCGCAGGAACCTGGAAACGTGCTGGTGGAGCGCGCGGCTGCCACTCCAAGTATGCCTGAGGCGGTTGCGAGCATGTTGGGAAGGAAGGACACCACCCAGTTGGAGGACGTATTTATGAAAGAACATGTTCATAAATTTGGGGGCCTTGTGTTTGTTGTGTATGGGGTGGGGGAGGTCTCAAGATCACGTTGGACTCCTGAAGGACGAGGCAGTGAGGAAACTCCATGAGCATGTGGAAAGGTTGGCTCACAACACAAGAATGCGTTTCCAAAGGACTTTCAACTCGCCAGCTTGCCCACCCAAGATTTTGGAGTTGTGGAACACCCGCAAGACATGTTTCTTCTATTTGCCAATTGGCAATTTGTCTTGTGTGGTTGAGTGGTATGCATAGAGTCCTGTAGGGGTACTTTCTGAAACATGGCTATGCACCAAGGTGCCAATATTCTGCCCATGATGTTTGAAGACTGGATCCAAAGCGGAGAAGTGTGGATGATGTCGTCTCTGCACAGCAGACTGACCCAATCTTCTTCCCAAAAACGCAGAGGCCGTCACGTGATGTTACCCTATTGGGAGGTCAAAAAGCAGCACCACCTACTACATGCCTCACCCGGAGGCTCGAGACAATGAAGAGCCTTGTACTTCACAAAACACATATTTGGGTCTTTTGTCATTTGCCCCACAGGTCTCTGTCCCCCCCTGGCTTCCGTGACAAGGAGCTGTGACATCAAAACGCAGGTCTGTCATGCAGCTGGTAGTTTTCGAGCGCGTCAAATGACCTGGGGGTTGGGAGTGGGACCCGGTGGCCTAGATAGTAAGGATTGGGCATTGCTACGCATATGGGATGCTCTTGAGTTTGAAGATGAGCAAGTGGATACAACATCAATGGAGCTCCAGGGATGTGGTGATTTCGACGAGACAGCTTCCAAACAAGTTCTGTACCCTTGACCTGTTTTTGAGTTCTTTGTTGATATGTTGATGTATTTATCCTGGCTGATTCCCATTCCAAACCCTGGGTGTCTTCACCACACAGCCACAGCACCTGCCCAGGCAAATGGCTTTGGGACCTTCAGTAGCAGCCATGAAGGCACCCGGTCAAGGTCAGGGAACAGTTCCTGGGAGGGTTGATGAAAATGAACCAGAGAACAACAAAAAGGCGAAGCCACTGAGTCGAAGGTTGTCGACCAGCATTGGAGCATGCTCTACCAAGATGACCGATGTGTTGTCATGGGATTCGAAACTTGCTGAAAACAAAATTGGACTGATACTTGCCAGCATTCATCCGACCCACAACCCATGCTACCATTGTTTCAATTTGTTGCATGTTTTAACATGAATTCATTTAAGGGGCCTCATCTCAGCTTGAGGACAGAAAACTTGGTGGGTGGCTTCAGGAAGGAGCTCACTAAGAGGTTGGCGAACATTAAAACAGTTCGTGCCGAGCTTGAGAGGCTGTATGCCTTGCGAGTTGAGGATGGTAAGATTGACTTGCCTGAGAATGCCTCCTATAAAGAGGAAGCCATGGTAGCTATCCGCAATGCCGAAGCTGCATTCACCGCCTATGCTGGCAGCATTCGGTCAATCAAGGGAGTCATTGAATCTAGCCCAAAGAATATGCAAAAACTATGTCTACTAGATACCCATATATATATATATGCCATATATATATATATATTGGAATATCTCCAACTCATTTGCCCCTGAGTTTGCCCATGCGGCCAAGGAACCACCCAAGGTGAAATCCAAAGCCAAAGGCAAGGCGCAGCCGAGTTCACCTGAGACTGAAGGTGTACAGCAGCAGACATGAGCACTGGGCAATTTGGATCCAGTGTGCTGGGGGTAGATCTTCACAAGATCTGACACAGCCATGCAAGCTATGTTGAGGTTTGTTTGACTAATGATAATGCTGTGCCGTTTGTTTAGAAGCTGGCTGTCAATTCTTTTGACCCTGCTGTGTGGGCTTGCCGGTGCAGAACATCGGAATACCCATATGTGCAACATGACCATACTAGTGGCACAACAAAGTGAGCTGGGCAGCTTGGCTCTGGATTGGGGTGCAACATGTCCACTGATCAGTTTGAACACGTGGATGGTCGCAGTGTCATGAAACTTCAAGCTAAAAGGTAAACTGGGTTCACCACGTGGTCTGGTAGAAACAAAGAGTGCAGTTCCCCCTGCAGGTGTTGATTTATCAAAAGCAAAGTCTACACCGCTGAGTTCACCACATGGTAGAAACAAAGAGTGCAGTTCCCCCCGCAGGTGCTGATTTATCAAAAGCAAAGTCTACACCGCTATATGCCTTCTTGCTCAAGGAGGCTGGTCTAGGCGAGCCCAGTCCGCAGATTTGACAACTTTTTTTTTTTGGTGGATGTAAAACCACTGATATAATAAATATATACTGGATGGATATTCAATGCTGGTTTCCAACATGTTAGTTCAAGCTTCTTAGGAATCTTCATTTGCAAAAACTCAGAGGCTTCTCGAGTTTGTTGGGAAGGAGTGGGAATTGTGCACATGTTGGTCGTGAACACAGTACACCGCTTGCTTCTGAACTATGTTTTTTTGGTTGAGATCCCATGCAGGAGTTCAAGCTCCATGGTGTGGAAATGCAAGGGCCATGTGCTTCCCTTCGGTCGGCAGGGTGTTCTGGGAAATATGCCTCTAATGTCCATCGAGACATTATGAGAAAGGTGATCAAGAATGATCCAAATCAGGCCTATGTGTCGGCAAATGTAATGTGTTTATCTATTGCATGTTCACCCCAAGGCCTGTTAATAGTTTTTGTTGTTGTAGGGGTGCAACGGTCACATGCGCTCTTGGACTGCATCAGGTGGTCATCGATTGGATTGAAGTTCCTGTCCAAAAGCAATATGGACCCAATGGAGTTGAAATGAGGACCTAGGGAAATGGATGGGTGAAGGAAGTCTTTTTGTTGGTGCTCAGTTGTGTTAAGTCGCAACCATACCACTGGCTCTATCTAGAAAACCCCTGGAGTGTTTCTGTATCAAGTCCCTGGGCCTTTGTTTGTGGAGGAAGCATCCAGTCGTTTTGCCGCACAAGCTGGTATGTGAGCCATGTTGGCCAAGAATTGACCCAGCTGACGTGGAAACTTACTGGCAGAACCTAGAGTCGCACCAGAGTCCGTTGGCATCAATCAGTCCAGACCATTCTCATATCCCTCTTTGGATTTGGGGCGATGAGTGCCAGTTCCGAGAAAATGGTGATGAGCTTCTACTGATCTGCATAGGCTGTGTTGTGGATGCCAGAAAATTCAGTGTTGAGGTTTGTTATCCTCTGGCTTTATGCCGGTCTGACGCTTTCCCTCAAATCAATGAGTTTTTTTGGCATTGTGACTCCTTGTAATTTGAGGATTGTTTTCCCTAAGTGCACAAACCAGTACTACTTTAGGCTTTGGATAGTGCCACCCCCAAGGAACTCAAAGCAGGCTTCACCACTGTCCAAGGGATATTGCAAGTGGTAACTTGGTGACAAAACAGGTCACATTTTTCCTTTGCTCCTATAGGCCAGAACTGCAAGCCAAGAAACAAAGGCTGTCGGATTGCTGCCAAACACCATAGCTGTGTCGTGGCCCAGGTGCTGGAATCTTTGATGATTCTGTACAACGAAGGCGCTGGTGTGGGTGAGGAGTTGCGAAAATATGCCATCACAGAGATCAGAGGTGATTGGAAGTGGCAACAGGATTCTCAAATGATTTGTTCATATGTGTTTTTTTTCTTGGGGATAATGATTCATGTATATATATTTTAACTGTGGGGTGCAGCTAGCTAAGGAGTGGCTTCAACTGTCTTGCCATTACTCTTGCAATGCAATATGTCATGCTTGCAGGGCACGGGTACCAGATTATCTAACTGCCCCTGCAAATCTGGATGGTGAGTTCCGGCATGACACTGACAGCTTCTTGGGGGAGTGTGTCAAACGTGGTGAGTTGCGCAGACTCTAGGCTCTGTTTAACTCTACTGTTTTCCTTTATTCAAAAAA